AAAAATTAAGCCAACTACATCACTAATTTAATCCACTGCATCACCAAGCAAGGAGGATTCCACGTAGGATTGTTCCTACAAAATTATGCCGAAAATAGAAGGAAAACATATTGATAGAAAAAAAAAAAAAAACTTATATTTACTTGGCCCGCAATTTGGGATAAATTTCAATTTCACATTTTCTTTTTCAATAATTTATATAATTCATACGTCTTAAACCCTTAATTTATTTTATTTATTTTTAAATAAAACCTGGAATATAGAAACTCAGGATAGCTCACTCAAGACTAATGGTGAACCAACATCAAACCATTATGAAGCAGAAATAGATACACTTCATTGACATTGTTAAGGCAAAACCTTGTTCAGCTTACCTACACTCAGTATCATTAATTAGTGTTGGCGGAAAATTTACTCGAAATCCCTCCCTATATATTAATTCAAAACGTGTTGAGCCTAAGTGGCAGATTCTCACGCTTCGGATGCTGACATGGCGAAAATCTATGATTCGTGATGTTGCTTTTATATTATTTTGCTCTGGAGTTAGGTTTTGATATCAGACATAAATAACTTTTATCATATATTTCTTAACTCAATACCCGTGTTGTACACGGGTATTGTACTAGTCTCTTTCTACAATGAACCCACATAAAATAATGTGTCAAAATTATTGACCTATGGTCCTATGTCGTGAGTTGAAGCCTGAAGAATTAAGGTTCGAATAGAATGTGGAATAATCGATCCGCTATAAGGTTCCAGCCTCGTTTGCAAGCGAACATTATTTTTCTTAAACAGCAAGCCAAAAGCTATACGCTCGATCCACTCAAAGTCCAACAACAAAACTCATCAAACTCCAAGTACTAAATCATTATGGAAAACTATATATCCACAGAACCTTCTAGAATTTCTTGATTGAAACACAATTGATCTCTGGTTATCCATCCCAGTGATTCCATGAGAAGTTCTTCGAGGCACGATATAGTCAAAAATATCCCTTACTAAGTTCTTCGAAGTGCTTCCCTTTTCACTTTCTAATGTTCATAATCTCATCAAGTTTAGAACTCTTGACTTGCAAAATTATCCCTTACTAAGTATATGGTTTGGAGCTCAACTTTTTTATTCTCAAACTTATAGATAACAAACTGTGGATCCTCATATAGGCATCATATATCCTAAAACTTTAACTAACCTCAAATATTTACATCAGTAATATAATTAAAGAAGAAGGTATAATAATAAATTAAAAAACAAAATTAAAACAAAATTGCTTTCAGACAAACTCTGCACCAACCATATCCTTTCCCCCAATTGAAAACCGAGCTAACCATCCAGCTAAGTTCATCCATTTTTCTGTATTTTGCTTCCCAAAGAAAGTCAGTCGAACTGAATTGGTCGATCTATTATAAACCAACCAAAAAACCAACAGCTTTCAAACCTCAAGCTTATGAATGAACAGGCATCAATAGGAAGAGAAATTTGGTCTTAAAATAACAAAGTAAAATAAATAGCACTGAATGAAAAAGAAATGAAAATTATCCCAATTCTTTATGACAACCAACTTTCAGAGTAACTCCAATAGTGATCAATACTAATCGCTCGAGCCAACTTATTGGAAGAGTTCCCCAAGATATTAAACACAAACTCTGAACTCATCACAGTCCACTTTATCCAATTCAATCCATTCTCACTGTTCAATTGAACGAGCCAACTAGGTATTATTTTGTCCTCAACAAGAAGCCATAATTGACAAACATGACCAAAATGTTCTTACAGGACTATTCAATTTCAGCTGAAACGGCATCAGACACCCTAAATACAGTAAATAACGGAAACCCACATTTTCTGGAGCACTTTTCTAGACTATAGGAACTTTGGCAGCCTATACTAACCAATATTATTGAAAGGTATTCCTCCAAGAAAAGAGTTCTACTGTTTACGGAACTTAATAAATTATCTGAGTGTTTCTCTCAAATAACTGATATAGAAGCCAACGGAAATTCACTCAATTGACTGGACCTATTCATTTGGTCAGGGATAAGCAACAGCTATATATATATATATATATATATATACTTTTTTAAGCAGAAAAAATTCGAGAAAAAACCTACTTTTCACATCCTCAAAACCTTTAGAAGAGAAATTCTAGCAATAGTATATTTTTCTCTCGGGAAAACTCTCAACAAGAGTAGACAAATTTCAAGTGCCAATAATCAGTGCCATTGCCGTACACAAAAGCATGCTATATTGCCAGGTCTTCATTAGCTGTCTTCTTTATCCTCATCATCTACTCTTGATGTTAACCATATGCCAAGTACTAGAAAATTTGTAGAATCGTAACAAGACTAGCCTATTTGTAGCACATCTGCACATAGCCTGTCTACTCATAAAAACCACATCTGCACCAGCTCTTGAAGGTTAGGTGGAACCTTAAAGTGGGTGACTAAGTTAAATATGTTCACCTAATGTAACGTCAGAGCTGCACTACTCATTTTCAATCCATAAATTCAAAATGATAATCTTGTCAGTGTTGGTACTTATCCCCATATTATCATCCACCACCCCAGTAGCATTATTGTCTGTATGATCAATACAATAAATAGCGAACATTACCCCAGGCTGAGACTAGTAACAAATACTTTAAGATTCATAAGGTATCCACCATTTTGTTGAGTAAAATTGTATGAAATTTGTAGTTTTTGCTCTCTGCTAATATTTCCAAGAGCACCACCTGTTGTAAATTATGTCATCCATAACGGCTACCAAAATCAGATTAACCATTAGTCTCTGTGATCAACGAATTCTAAATGGCCAATTGTAGAAAGCATAGCGTTTGAATTATTCTATTAAAGATAAACAATGTCTAAAAATTGTCGGGTTCGTCAAGTGCATCATAAAAGATCAATCAATCAACAAGCCATTAAAATCCAACTAAGTGGGGTCGGCTATATGGATCACATGTCGCATGCTCGATCAAAGCACATATCCTCATTCAAATTTAAATATTTTAAATCATTTTTTATTGTCTCATTCCAAGTTTTCTTCGGTCTAGCCCTCCCCCTTGTAATTAGGGTACTTAACTCTAATATTTCTACCCTTATCACCGGTGAGGTCTCTCTGCCTATGCCCAAACCATCCTAATCTCTCATTTTTTCCTCTATGGGCGCTACCCCAAATTTATTTCTAATATTTTCATTTCTAATCCTATCTAACCTAGTATACTCACACATACATCTCAACATTCTCATCTCTGTCACTCGCATTTTTTTTTTTTTTTATCATTTTCATATTTAGTAGACCAACACTCGGATCCATAAAGCATTGTCGGTCGAATAGTCGTTCGATAGAACTTGCCTTTTTCAAACTCACTGGTGCTTTACGATCACAAAGTATCGACGACGCGCTCCTGCGCTTGTTCTACTTCTAACCCAATTGATTTCTATGAATTCTGTGTTACGTCCTTGTCTATGTTACCATTATCTTCTAGAACAGATCCTAAATATTTAGAACTTTCAGATGTGTTTAATTCGTGTTTCCCAATATTAAACTTTTACCCTATATTACTCCTTTGATTACTACAATTACACTCCATATATTCCGTTTTGGCCGTACTTTTGAAACCCTTTGTTTCAAGCGCATCACTCCATGTTTCTAACTTAGCATTTACCCCCTCTCGCCTCAACTACTAACACTATGTCATCCACAAACAACATGCAATCGGTGACATCCAATTGCAAATGCTTGGTAAGTTCATCAATCAACGTTGTCCAAAAATAATTACTTGAAATACCATTTAAACTGATATTTCAAGTTGATGCAGGTTTACATTTGTCCCCATGCCAGGCGCGCATAGTTAAATAGTTGATAATTTAGAGATCTACAGGCCACCTTATCAGCCTCCAAAGAAATAGGTAGAAAGACTGGTAAACCATAACTATGAATTTTGGCAGAACGGAGGAAAAAGAAAAGAAAAGAAAATGAAAGCATAATGGTAACAGCCAAACATGCAATAGGACCCAAGTGGACACTAATCAGCTTTTGGTTATAAATAGGCTGCACAATGGTAATAGGTGACAAGGATCAGCCCTCAACTTTAGTCATAACACACCATAAAACTAAAGTCCTTAAGAACAAAAGTGAAACCCACGGGGTATCATCACCTCATGACGAAGAAAAACAATAACCAAAACACTGTTATCCTACACTGATGGCATCCAATGTATCGAGAGAATGTTCCTCGGTTTCCATGAGTCCCCCACCCCACCCACCCAAACAAACGTAAAATGCCTTCAAAATTAAGGTAGCGATTGGTATAACATTTTTTCATTTTCATTTGGTTGGATAAGATTTATCTCGCTGAAATTGTGAATGGATACC